TGTACTAAGCCAGGCATAGACATTAAATCTGTCTATGCCTATACTCATTAAAGAGATGTAAAATAAACTACACACTAAAAGTGATTGTGAGCAACAATAATGATGATACTGTTGTTGTTTACTGACACCTCTCAGCATTTGGCTGATTGTTTTTTGTTTTTGTTTTTCTGTCCCTCTCTGCTACACATTTACTTTTTATCTGGTCTGCGTGTCTGATAATACTGCTTTCCTGTCAAAAGAGAAGGGCTACATGGCCGCTTCTTTACTCGCCATGGAGACTGGAGAGGCAGGAAGTAGCCTGTGATGAGTCGTGCCAGGCTCAGGTCCTTTGGGGTGTGGAGAACCTTACATGTCACAGTGATGGCGTGAGCAATCTTTTGTTTGTGTCCACTGTAAAGGTGGTATAACACAGAGAGAGACAAAAAGCAGTTTTAATAGAAGGTGAAGAAGGCCACCTCTCCCCCTACACCCATAGAAGAGTTTAGTGAGAGGGGGATGTTAGCCAAGCACATGTCCATTATGGACAGTACCGCTCACCCACTGCATGAAACTGTAGAGCAGGGGTGGGCAACTCCAGGCCTCAAGGGCCGGTATCCTGCAGGTTTTAGATGTGTCCTTGAACCAACACAGCTGATTTAAATGGCTAAATTAGCTCCTCAACACGTCCTGAAGTTCCCCAGAGGCCTGGTAACGAACTAATCGTGTGATTCAGGTGTGTTGACCCAAGGTGAGATCTAAAACCTGCAGGACACCGACCCTCGAGGCCTGGAATTGCCCACCCCTGCCATAGAGGCTGGGAGCAGCTCCTTCAGCATTACTGTCCTTCATCCAGACTGTATGTATGTATTATCAGTCCCACTGAACTTTATGTGCACAGAGAAAAAAAATCATAACTGGAATTTCCCCAGTGAGAGATTAATAAAGTCTACATCAGGGCTGCCCAATCCCAGTCCTCGAGAGCTACTATCCTGCAGCTTTTAGATGCATCCCTACTCCAACACAGCTGAATCAAATGGTTTGATTACCTCTTCAGCATGCCATCGTGTTTGGCAAAGGCCTGATAACAAGCCATTCATTTGATTCGGGTGTGTGGGAACAAGGATGCATCTAAAAGCTGCAGGACAGTAGCTCTCGAGGACCGGGATTGGGCACCCCTGGTCTACATCATGTCGTAAGTGACAATTTAGCACACGACCCAGTTTAATCATTGAAGAGGTTAAACTTTTTCTACCCAGCATGAAACAAAACATTACCAGCAGTAACATTACTTATTTTGATCCAGCTCGTTAAAACACAAGACAGCGTTGCAGACAGCCTAATTTCAATCCAGCCCCTACACACCTTTACCCTGTTTGCAGGCAGTCTCTAGTGGGGGTAGGGTATGAAGCCCTCCACCACAGTGAGCCTGCATCAGTGTAAACTTTACCCACAGTCAATGAGGGTTCAGCACTGACACACACACTGCAGATATTCTGAAAATAGTTTATTCATTTGAGATTCTTAAGTTTAGATATTTAAGATACATAATTCTTCCCCTGATTTACAGAATGAGCTTTCAATATTCATTCAGATGTGATCTAGTTCTAATTGTTCTTTTATTATTAGACAGTTTTTCTTATGTAACTTTTCAAGATGTTCAGTATCTTGAATATCTGAGAAAAATATTAGAGATTTGCAGACATTCAGAAGTAGGTTCTTCATTGCGAGGATCAAACAATGATGAAGGCTCTTTATTTGGAAGAACATCTGACATTGGCAGACTTGAAGGTCTTATATATGTGGTTCTTTGCTACATCGGAAACTGTCTTGAGCAGCACTGGTGCAAAGTTTGCAATGTTGTTAAGTAGAATTTCTTGAGGATATTTCCCTCTGATTTCTGTCAGGATGCTCTGGACTATGTCATCTCTGATGGAGCGGAAGAAGACAGCCTGAAATTTCCATCACTGTGAGTTTTGGAGACGCAAAAGTGGCCTTGGTAACACTTTTTGGAGAGTATGCTCAAACTCTGGGAGGGCATGTTCAAGACCAGTGGGGTCAGGAGTAAATTTACTACCAGAAAAAGACAAATGGTAGTAATACTTTTTAAAACACCTAATGACCCAAATCAGGTCACTTAGGTACCTGCTTTACTTCAACTTAAAGTGGGTCACGAAATGGCCTCTGTGCGATGAAGTATTAAGTTCTAATAGTGACTAGCAGAAAACCACATCACTCACACTGAAAATAGGGTACACAAGATTTGGTTTACCTCCAAAGCAGACTAGAGGCAGAAGACATTTCTGTCCTGCAATCCAAGGCCCAAAGCCACCACATTCAGAACTGTTAGTCTTGTCAGGCCTCGTGTTGTTAGGGAGTGGGTTTCCACACCAGATCCTAGGACTTAAATTTCTCAAGCTCTTCCTCTTGAAGTTTTGAGCAATTTCCTCTTATTGATTACCTCCTTTTTTGTTTTGGGAGTTGTCAAGCAATGATGGTGCATTACTACCAACTGGCTTGGGGTATGGACAATTCACTCACACCAAATAATACTATTGCAGTACAGTATAATAGCAACCACTAAACTGAGGCTGTATCATGCACGGCTGTAGACTCAGTGTTGACCAATTTCTAATTTCCACACAGTTCATTCATCAAACTTTAAGCATGGTAAACTCTTCTCCCCATAGTTGTCACCCTGCTAAATCAAGGCCTTGATAGTTGTTTGATCTCCAGTGAGGACAGCAACACAAATAACCACAGTGTTTGATCTCCAGCGTCTACTTTTCTAAATTGTTCCATTTAAATAGTTTCGTACTTTCATATACTTTTGTTAATACTTCTGTGTAGTCTCCTTGACTAAAAAACAAAACAGGTATTTATACATTTGACTTCCATATAGTCTAACTCAAGAGTTAAAACTCTTCAGGCCAGATTATCCACCACTAACTTAAATTTCTTGTTGCATCCGAATGCATGTAGGTACGCAAGGGACTGACAAAAATAGTCTAATGCGTCACTTCATAGACGGATATCTGGAAGAGAAAATAAGTGACAACTACACAACACCGTTTCAGCAAAACATGACTTTATTTGATTCCATTTTACTTCTGGCTGGACTCTGACTTGGATGTGGATGCCCTCAGAGAGGAAAGACGGCGCCTCTTGGCAATCTGTTCCTGGCGCTTCTCCTTGGCCTCCTGTTTACAAGAACAAATGTGTGTCAATTTCCACATGTCCTACTTTATGTCTTTTTAACATTTCACCATCACATGCTCGAATGTTTTTCAGAGGCAAACTGTAATCTGCTGAATGCCATTACAGCTATATCATGTAAGGCAACTCAAAATGATAACAATAAAAAACACAATCCTATACTTTAAATTTCAAGTGAATAAAGATTCAATCATAACTTAAAGTGTATTTAAGGAAATTTATTACAATATGTTGTTAAGGCATAATGTAGCTGATGTAAATACAGCCACTCCAACACTAGTGGAAATATCACACCTGCCAGAAATTATTTGTCACATTATATTCATTGATCTAAACCACTAGAACATTATTTTGTGTTCAGCTACACGACAAAAGCAGAGTAGTGTGATCTTTGATGCTGGTTAAGGATAATAAAGGCCTAGATTAACGCATACCTTCATCCTCTTGGCCAGCAGCTTTGCGTACTCTGAGGCCTCCTCCTTGTTCTTCTGGGTGCGCTGTCTCTTCAGTGCAATGCGGCGGCGCTTGTGCTGCAGCACACGAGGAGTCACCAGTCTCTGGATCTTGGGAGCCTTAGTTCTGGGCTTCTTACCTACCAAAGCGAGAGGATTGAAAGAGTCAGTGCTGACACAGTTCAAGGTCAAGTGTGGTAATGAGAAAGAAGCTTAATGTACCTAATTTCTATGTCTGTAACTCGTACTGTACTACCTCAAAGGAAGCACATTCCTTACTGTCCAACTGTACAAAAAACAGTAACTTTGATCTGTCTGCATGCTGGCACCCTGCATTAATCAAAGCCTTGCTGATGATTCATTACTAGGCAGAACACAATTCACACAAACAGCACACCTGGGACTTACCTGCAGTCTCCACTTCTGCTGAATCAAGTTTATTATGATAAAGTTCATTTTTCAGCTTGTTCCTGATCTCAGCTCTTTCACCCTAAATTTGAATAACCATGTGCTCATCAAGAAGACTATATTTAACGGCACTCTCTTTTTAGTGATGAGTTGAAATGGCTTTACCACAAACACAATCTTACAAGCACAGACATCACACAAACTCCAGAACAAACAAATGCTTACACAAGGAAATTAATG